GTTTAGCATTTAGACTTTAATGATTGCATTCGGTGGCTGCCCTCCTTTTCAATTTCGATTTATGCCAATGATTTTTTGGTATTTATTGATACAAAAAGTGACGATGGCACCTTTAGCGACCTAAATAGCAATTTGTGTAGCGATTAATAGTCAAATGAATCAAAAGTAAATTATTATTAATGTAACAGATTTTTAATTCGGCGCATTGTTTTTATTTTTGTATTATGGATAAATAGCAACAACAGTCGATTCGATCTAGACATCTCCGTCTGTCCGTCCCTCCATCTCTCAGTTTTGAAACTTGATGAAAAAACTTTGCCTTAATTCTTTTATATAAGCAGGAACTGGAACTGGGACAACTAAATCACATAGATGCCATAGAAATTCGGTTCTAATTTTATGAAAATCAGACGAATATATCATATAGTTGAGAACAATCGATAAATTATTACTACAAAAATTTTTATTTCGATATTTTTCAAAATATTTTATCTCTGAGTACATGCAGCCTTTTTTTATTTCATAATTTCGTATTGAATTTTATGAAAATCTGATGACAATATCATATAGCTAACATAGAAGCGATCAATGTTATTTTGACATAAATATAAAGAATTTATATTGTATTTATTCCTAATGATCGAATCTGAAAGGGGTATATAAACTTTGGAGTGCCGAAGTAAGCTCGTTTTTTTTTTTTTTATTATTCACTTAATAATTTTCATAAGGACTTGGATGTGATTGAATTCAATACAATCAATGCATAGCATTAATGAAATAGGTATTACAATTAAATAATTAATTTATGTTTATTTACTTTTAGTTTCGGTGTTACTTATTAAATGTAATTTAGATTCTTAAACACCTTAATTATATTCATATTTATTTTCTACATCTACTGAATGCTTAAGAGTCTCAATGGTTATGCATTTAAAGATCTGCTGCTGATGTACATTACTATTTTTCATATTTCTTTAATAATTTATTTAGTGAACATTATAATTTTATGAAACAAGATAATAACCCAGGGCCCAAATCCGTTTCTTAAATAGCGGCATACACATCCTTTCGTAAATCGTTTTATGATTTTTGTATTACTCTTTATGATCCGACGATCTCTATACAATTTGAGGCTGATTTTCAATTCTGCAATCACTACATAGTATGCACTCTCGGTGCATATCGTCACTACGTGGACATCCGTATGTACTTATACATATGTATGAATATGTATCTACAATGAGCATATATTATGTGACATTTTAACGATATTGACAATATTCAAACAGTTGCTAGCGTGTTTATGGTTTTTCTGTCAAATTTTTAATGGGGCGCAAATTTACAGCGAAAAGATCCCATAATAATAACTCGAAATGCACTAGCACTACAATTTCGAAGTAGCACAATTAACGATTCTCGAAATAGTGCATTAAAATGCCACACAAATGCAATTAATTGAGAGTTGAATGGGAAATTGCAATAAAGTGGGCTGCATGCCAAATAAACCAATTTTATATGTGATTCCTTTGCAGTATCGGGGAAACATTTGCATTGGGGGATATGGGGGCCATTTCAAAACCGATTTCAAAGAAAACCATCTCGAATCTGTTCTGTTGTTTGGCCTGTTGAATGTCCATTGTGTCATGTGCGGCATTTGTTGGCTCGAAATGTGCAACAAATAAACACCATCGGTCGACAACAACAAGTTCTAAGGAGGGAACAAAACCGCAAATCAGTTGGCCAGAAGCCAGGAATTAGCCAGCCATGTTGGGGAGCATCCTCCCTGGGCCAAGGACGTAGTCCAAAGGGCTATGTTTCTGCATTGAATATACTTTCTTTTAATAGAAAAGGAAGCAAACCTTGCAGTTATAACAAAAGTGACACTCTGAAACTATTCTTCAAGTTCAAACAAAGCAAAAAATTCCATAAGTCAGAAATCATGAGGCAATAGGTATTGTTTTCTAAACATGTTCCGATCTCTTGTATGAAACCAATAAGATTATGTGAGTTCCGATAGATATACATTTGTATTTATACTATGTATGTGTATTAAAAAGCCGAAGATCTTAAAACAAACTCCTGACTAAAGTCATAATACCCTTTGTAATGCTATAAAAAGAAGGACCAACTTTTTGTGTGTGTTGTTTTTTGGTCACACAGGTTCCCGAACGAAATGCATATATAAGAATTTTTGCTTACTACTTTTATGTAGCAGATTTAACTTATGATATTGTTAAGCTTGTAGGAATATATCGCATATTTGAAAAAAGTCGATTAATCGATTGTTGAATCGATTTTAGTTGCAGCTCTAGGTCCTAGTTGATGTGGCTCTAGAAGGTTGTTCATTTTTTTTATTTATTTTATTTTGTTGATTTGTTACAACATTTTTTCGTTTACAAATGTGGTAAGACCTTTTTGATTTGACTTTTAAGATCCGGCAGGCCTATGTATGTAGCGAATTGGGGAATCACCATAGTATCAATTGTTTTATATTTTATTTGTTCCAACATTATTTTTTCTGGCACCGTCTTATTAATTAAAAACATTTCATTTTCTTTCATTTATTTATTAACTTTGTAACTTTTGTATTTATTTTAATGACCTTTATTTTGCTTTACTTTTTACTAGAAATTCTAATATTGTCAGTAAACTTTAATATACATATATGTTTTACGTCTAATCTAGTCCTTCCGACTCAGCTCGAACTGTTGAATAAGGTCTTTGCAGTCTAGGTAACTCTCCGGTTCCAAAGTATTCTGGAACCGTAAGCGTAATCGTTCTTTCAGGTGGAACTCCATCTGAAAATGTACAGTAAAGCTTCTGTTTGGAGGGAACAAATGTCATCACAACATAACACACACAAGCTTGCAGTGACCGTGTAGATTTTTCATTCCGTGTAGATTTTTTCATTCATATTAATTGTTTGTATTTTGATGAAATTTTTAAAAACTTAAAACCACTTCTTAATTTATTTTTTTTACTTGCTGTAGAAGCCAATATGTTTCTTTCAAAATATAAAGGCCTAACTTATAGGTCAGAAAACATACGCAAATGGAAAAAAATAGAACTAGGGTCCCTATTAGATAGTTATTTATTTATATTTTTTTTTATTCTTAGTGCTACCAGTGTGAAACTTTAGCTAATATGTATCACCAGTCATATAGGATATGGGCAAATCCACCAAATGGTTAACTAGCACAACAAAATCTTCGTTATCATCGCCTTTTTTGGTGTATTTTCAAAACTAATGTAATAATTTTCACAATACAATGGATCCAAAGCATATACCAGTTGTTTTCGTTTAAAAAACTGGCTTAACAATTAAAAAAAATTAAGTAGTTAAAAGAAAAAAACAAGAAAGGAAGCTAACTTCGGCACGCCGAAGTTTATATACCCTTGCAGATAGGACTTCGATGACTAGGAATTCATACAATATAAATTATATATATTTATGTTAAAAACAATGAAGTAATACCTGCTTTCTTTTCATTCACCTTTTCATATTATATTTGCAGCTTTACATTCACAGATTTGCATTTTGCTTCTACATCAAACGATCGTTTGTATGGCACCTATGTGATATAGTCGTCCGATTTTTATAAAATTTGACACAAAATTTAAGACTGATATAAAATGGCTATATCTCAAATTTGATTACATTCTGTTGAAAACTGAAAACTTTATAATTTTCAATTGTATTAATTTCTCGATCGTTCCTATGGGAGCTATGTTATATGATATAGTAGTCCGATTTTCATTAAACTTAACATAAATGTAGGGTATAATAAAATGGATATATCTCAAATTTGATTAAATTCTGTTGAAAACTTAAAATGTTGTAATTTTGTATGTAAAAATTTTTCGATCATTCCTATGGCAGCTATATGATATAGTCGTCCGATCCGGCCCGTATATAGAAGACTAACTACAAAGTTTCATTCAGATAGCTTAAAAACTGAGAGACTTGTTTGCGTAGAAACGGACAGACGGACAGACGGACATGGCTAGATCGACTCGGCTGTTGATCCTGATCAGGAATATATATACTTTATATAGTCGGAGATGCCTCCTTCACTGCGTTGCAAACTTCTGACTGAAATTATAATACTCTGCAAGGGTATAAAAATGATTAACGTTGATTCAAAGAAGCAGTTTAAAAGAGAAATAAAAAATTTAAAAAATGGTAATAAAAGGACCTAAGAAACTTCATTTAAATTAATTGATTTTTTTCAACAGCTTAGAAGTTAAATTAAATTGTTAAATTGTTTCTTCTTTATCTTCTGTATCTATCCCACAAATTAAAGTCCAGTTTCTTAGAAAGATATTTTAGTAAAATTAAGTATAGTAAAAAAACGGCACCTTTTTGCCTTGTTTTCTGTTGTTTTCCCTTATAAATTTATATTTGCATTACTTCTCTGTGGAATTCGCAGGAGTTAAGTTCCTCCTCATCCAGTTGACACGCATTAGTGAGCACTCTTTTTCAATTTGTGTAAGACTGGCTGAGCAAAAGCTGCGCAGATTGCATTTTGTGTAGCATTTTTCAGTGCTCAAATTGCCATCCATGCATTTGAAGCAAACGAAACAAATTTGATTCCATTGACAGTTACATGACAGCCAGGGGGTTGGGAAAAGTCCACCCACCCCAAACACCCATCATTCCTATCATTGTGCCATTTTCCTAAACCACATTACCCCTCTGCCTTGGCACATTGCCCTGGATTTTCCCCACTGCATTCTCGCATACAATGAAATTATTTACGCGATGATGTGTGAAAAGATGCATTGGCAAAGTAAAGCGAAAATCTGTCGAAAACACACATGCTAAATGCTTTTTCTTTAAACCAATAAATGAACACGAATTTTCTTATGAAAACTTGAGCAATATCAGCAGGAAAGTTTGCCATTAGCTATAACTTTAAACTGCCAGCTAAATGAATAAATCAAATTAAATCTGAAAAGTAATAAATAACAAATAAATAAATGAATTCTTTCATTTGCAGCTTCTGGGGAGCTAACAGTCAACGTCATTACCATCATCAACAGCAACGCGAATAATAATAATAATAATAATAATAATAATAATAACACTAATAATAGTAACAATAATAATAACAACAATAATAGCAATAGTATCTCAAACAACAATCACCACAACGGCACCACCGAACCGGAAACGGAAGTTGAGGAACCAGGCGAGCCGCAACAACTGCAGGTGCAGCAACTGCAACAACTGCAGCCGGTGCCGAATTTCGTGACCATTCCCCTGCTGGAACGACGCCGTCGCAGTCGCAGTCACAGTCGCAGTCACTGCCGCATAGCCCCATTGGCACCGATCATTTGCCTGCAGAACGGATCGCATCCCGAGGATCTTGCCCATCTCTCACGCTCCAGGTCCTGCTTCCTGCGCGTCCGAAAGACCGTCACCAAACGTAAGTCATTAAAAGCTTAATTGATTGTCTTAATTGAAAATAACTAAAATGAACATCCGTGAATTAAGGGTACGGAAATTGAAGATTGGCTTCTCTTTTTAAGAAAATTGCGAATCTCAGAGTCTTTGCTAAGAATTTCTCAAAGCAAGGTTGCCCAAAAGCTGCTCTCGAAATAATAATAAATATAAATAAATGCAGGCAACAGACAGAAGCAAATATATTTTAGTTTTATTAAACGCAATGAACAGAAAACTTAAACATTATGTTTTGCAATTTGGATTAAGATCATTAAGACTCAGTCCTTTTTTAGTCAAATGAAAAAATGAAACTAACACGATTTCAATTGTATATATGAATTCATAAATACATATATTAAAGTATAATTCGGTTTTAACTTTCAACTTTTTATATTTTTTGGAAGTTCGTGACCAGGTTCAACAAAAACGTTAAGCACTGTATATTCATAAATGCAGATTTTATATACTCACTTGTGTTGGCTTCAGATTCAGCCAAACACCACCTTTTCCTTTAAGAAATGGTAAGAATAGCAGACTTTTCTTTAGGAAAAAGTTGGTCAAAAAACCATTCAGTAAATTTTTTAAAAGTAAACAAAATATAATTTTAGCTACTTTAGATTACGCGTAAGGTCGAATCGAAAAAATTTTAGATAAATTCATAAAACTTCGATTACATAAAAAATATTAAAATATTTATTAAAATAGGAAAATGAATTCCTTTAGCTTTTTTAATTGAATCGAAATAATGTGTTGTTTTGGCTTCTAATTGTATGAAAAAAGTTTATTAACACTTTTTACGATATTAAATTTTGTTTTTACATTTGTTTTAACTGAATGACTATGTTCCATTAATTTTACTCTACTTCTATCAGTTTGTTTTAGTATAAAGAGAGTGTTACACAGAGAGTGGCACCACCTATGAAGATTTTGGGTATACCACTCTATTTTTAATCCTTCGAGATCAAAATCACTTTATTTTGACAACTTTCAAAAATGGGTTGTGGCCCAGAAAAGTGGTCTGCTGGACAATGTAGGGATCGGAAAATTTGTAGAAAAAAACATGTATAAACTTTTCAGTTTTCAACCTAATTTAATCTAACTAGAGATGTAGTCATTTTGTATTACTTTAGACTACTATATCATATATCTTCTTTAACAACTATCGTTGAATGTAGAGAAAAATTCTAAACTTTGAAAGTAATTCTGTTAATATAGTATGTGTATGTAGGTTATTGGTAAATCCGAATTTTTATGAATTGTATAAATGTTCTACATAATTTCAGTTAGTTTTTCTTTCTTTGGTCAATTTGGATTAATTCTTAATGATTCAATTGCAAATTGCAAGGGAATACACACTTCGGTGTGCCGAAGTTAACATTCTTTCCTGATATTTTTATTTTTTTACCTTTTAAAGTTGCCATATGACCTTTCACTGTCGTGTTAACCCTGACGGTCAGCATGCGCCACTTAATCTCATGGCTTGTACCGAAAAAAATGTATTTATGTTGCCCGAGAACTGCATTTCCATTTAAGCCTTTTAGAGTCTATTTTCATTTGGCTCAATCTCCACCCCGTTTCACTCAGGTCCTTTTTTTCCCATCCACATCTCCTCCTTGGCTTCCAATTTGACTCTGTGTCAGCGATTTTAATTGAATTGCTGCGATTTCCGTCGCTCCGTTGGCGCGTTGTTGTTAACATTTTGGCTGTCTCTTAAATTGTTTTCTTCTTCTCCTTTATTTTCGTTTTTCACCCCATTTTTCATATGTTTTTTTCTTTCACAGTTTTTGCCAAAATCATGGGTAGCAATAATCCCAGCGAAGCGGATCGATACGACTATTATGACTGTGAGTAATATGCAAACTCATTTCCATACCATATTTTCTTTACATATTTTCTCAATTTTTATTTTTGCCTTGATCTGAGTATTAAGTGTGCAACATTTTGTGAGCAATTTCTTTGTTTCGATTTTAAATCGGAAGAAAATTAAAATTAAGTGCGCGATTGTTGGGAGATAAATCCATACTTTTAAGTTCTGTGCTTTATATCTTAGAATATATCTGAAGTGTAATATTGAAACTGTACTAGTGAAATAATTATTACAAGAATTAGGGAATCCAAGAAATTCATTATCATCGTACTTGGTAATTTAATATTTCACTTTTGTCATTTGATTTCACGAGTATTTGGTAATAAGCTTAGTTTATGAATAAGTATTAATACGTAACATTATTGGTACATTTAAATATACTAAAATTGACTAAAATCCTTTGGTGTGAATGTATTAAATGTAGTACATTCCGGGAAAATTTTAGGTACGAGAGGGATTTCAATAACTTTATTGAAAACATCATTAAAGAACTCAATATTGTAGCTGCTTTATATCAATTTTTGATCTTGAATCAAACATATGGTCCCTAAATCTGTTAGATTTTGGTTTACAGGCCTGTTCCAGGTTTCTCTTTCGAAAAATCCCTTCATGATCTTATTTCTTTGTTAAGTCTCCGTTAATTTTCGAGCTAAAGAGCACCTGCCATTTGGTTGACGGACTCAGTTTCATAACAACAGGATTAATTATTTTATTTAAATTCCAAATGACAATTGTATTTTATTCTCATTTTTTACATTATACAAAATGAATTATGTTTCAAACGTTTTTGCCAAATCCGCCACTTTTTCCGTTTGAAAGGGAATATTGTAACATTTTCGGGATTTTCCCATGAAGTTCCTATTTTATTACAAAACTTCCCTTTGGTCCCCAATAGTTTAATTGGTTTCAGTTTTGCCAATAAGGGATTTTTTTTAAGTTTCAGCCCGCTGTAGTCTCTCATCTATGCGTATTTATTAGGTACTAATTTGATGCATAATATTGAAGTAAGAAGCATTTGTTTCCATAATTAAATAATTAGAATGATTTTCAATTGCAGTCAACTGTTCTGGTGGCAGTGTTGTGAAAGGTCTCAGAGGGAATACCCTTTACATCACGTTTCAAACAGTTTATATATTACGTTTCGTAATGATTATATATTTTGTTTCGAACAGTTTATAGATAGTTATATTTAAAACAAGAAACTGTCTGTCTTATACTTGATTTTACAACCGTTATAAAAAAGGGGGAAAATATAAAAAACTATTGTTCAAATATTTCTTTTTTTGTCAGTACGCTAAAAACCTTTAAATAGATCCTTAGGTTTTGACTTTTTCGCTCGCAAGTTAACAGAGACTTAACAGAGGGAAATACGAATCGGTGGGAATTTTTCAAAAGTTAAAACTAGATAGGCCTGATTGTGAAAATTTCTTTCCGAAAAAGGTCAAATTCCTAGCTTGAACTTTTTTGGTCATTAAAAACAACAAATGCTAGAATCATAGCCAATTTAGTTTTGAGAGGTCTTATTGCAAAAATAATATGTTAACATACTTTTAGTTTATTTGTCGAAAAGAAAAAAAGATAGTGAGAGCCAGAGACGGAGACGGAACAGAGAGTGGCGGAAAGGCATTAATCCATCAAAATATTTACTTCTCTTCGATTCTTTTCGCATCATCTCTCTCGTTGTGAGTTATCCTGGATTCGTTGCCTTCTTGGTGCCTCAATTTTCATCATACTCTCTCTCTCTTTTGTGTGATTCCCCATCTTCACTCTGTGTGTGTGTGTGTGTGTTAGTGAAGAGTGTCTGTGTGCGGCACTTCAAATTGCGGCAAGTAAAAGCTGTAACAGAAAATCAATAAGACACCAGAGATGCCCAGGAGCAGGGGAATTCAATGCACTTTGAATAAAAATTCAAATCTAATCTGAAAATTTAGCAAAACAATTCTTTGCTAAAGGAAGCATTTGGGATAGGTTAGTGAAATCAAAAAAATTCAAATATTATTTCTATATAATTTACATTTATATCGCACACCCTCTAACTTCTTCTTCAGTGCAGAATTTTGGTAAAGACAGTGGGTTCTAGTAGGGTTCTACATAGGGAGGAATACGATTGGTTTCACTGGGTGGTGGCTTCCCACAGCATAAGTAGTATTTATGTTGGTATCTAAATATCTACACTCATCTGTCAAATATCACGTTTCCTGTTTACACTTCTTGCTGCCTTCAATATGCCCAGGGAATGCCCCCTTTTTCGGGGCCCACCTTTTCCCGGAGCTTTTGTTTTTGCTCTAGCTCTTGTCCCTGCTCAGTGTTTGTATTTGGCATGTTGAGTGTTGAGTGTTGAGTGGCATTTTCCTATCTTACTCTCACTTTTCTTCCCCGTGTTTTTCCTGCCTTTGTTGCCACCGAAAGCAAACAGCAGCTGAGCAGCAAACAATATCAAAATACAAGTTGACGAAGCCGCAAACAAAACACCAAAGGCTGACTCTGAAAAGTTTGAGAAATATATTATATATGTATATATATTTTCCATACAGCTCACTTTTAAAACTACATAAAAGAACTTTAAAATTATGCAAGTTGCAAGTTATATGTGTATGTATATTTATTTTATTTTTAACTCAATATTTCAATGCAAATAATAAACGCATTATATGAATACTCAAATAATTGCATCTTCAGGAAAGCTGCTTGATATTTTTATTTGGCTTCATTATTATCTCATCATTTTGTATCTAAAAGTATTGTAACTAAAAGTATTCTAACAGTATGTTAACGGTATTACTTCTCTGAATAAAATTGCCCATAATTCCAGCATATGGTGCTTTCAATAATATGTTTGGGGAATCCAACTTAACCCTCTACTGCACACAGAGCCATATATGGTTTTTATTTATTTTTTTTTAAATTTTTTGTTATGATAAAACCGTTAACCGTTTATTACTAGTTTTTTTTTAATTTGTTCTATTCGACTTGAATTTTTAGAAAATTGTTTGCATTGCCTTACCTAAATTTTCGATCAATTTTATTCAAACTTCAAGCTAATGATGATGATAATGATCGAAAGACAAAATTATCTGAATTAAAAAAAAAAATTTTCTAGTTTCAGTTTTTTAATTCTCAAAGAATATTACGTTTTCTTAAATAAAATAAGTATGTAAGTAAAAACCTGGACTATTTTATGAAGAAAAAAAATTAGGAAGCCATAATATTTTTTCCTACTAACTACAAAAATATTATATTACACAAAAAAAAAAAAATTATTTCGTTATTTACTTCTAAGCTCAAATTCGAAGAACAAAAATTTGAGATAGCTAAATTTTAGAGACATCGTTTTTAAGGTATAATTTTAATTGTATTCAAGGTATTCAAGACTTCTAAGTAAAGAATACTGCACTTCAATAATGTTCTAATGTAATAACATGATACTAATAGAGTACGAAAACTACGAAAAATAGAAACAGTTTCATAAAGTCTTTAATATTTTTAGTTCTACCTTTGCTTTCATTATGCTCTATTCTTTATGTTAGATCTCAAATCACAGAACGAGATTTTATATACTTCCTACATATCAGTAATTTCTAAGTAAATCCAAAACATGAGCCATTAGCCTTGATAATGAAAAATACTGAGAACTCCATAAATAGAGAGCGTGTCCTCTCCTCCTCGATTCTCAATTTGCCGGCTCCTGTTTCTCCCATCTCGCTCCCTCAACTTTGCTCCAGAGAATGACTAGGCGCCTAATTGATTCGTGTGCGAAATGTGGGTGGCGGGGGGACACTTGATTGGTTTATAATTCCCAGATGGTCCCCCAATCGCTGACTGCAATTGATTCGGCTCGGCCCCCTTGGTGCTATCATCGGTCGAGCTCATTTACATGCGAATTTGCCAAATGACATTTGGATATTTTGACAGTCGAAGGCATCTCAAGTGAGCATGCGAAAGCAATCCTGGCCAAGGAGCCATATGCTTGCCCAGACAGGGTGGAGATTGGTATTGGGATTGGGCTTGGGGCTCGGGGTGTTTTCCTTTCCTTCTCATTCTCCTGTTTGGACCCTCTTCAAGTGCCAAGAAAATGCTGAAATGCCCAAACACCGAATTCCCCGCATCTCGATTTCTTTTTAGAAGAGCGAAATGTTCTGGATATTTCATTTATTGAAGACAAACAAAAATAAATTGATTATCTTCAGATAATGCTTATAAATAATTTTGCTTATATTCATTCATTATTATTCATTTCGCACCGAAGTTGTAAAACGTTTCTAATGCGCTTTATTATTAGTATTTCATTGAAGAGTAAACAAAGTTTTTGAGAAAATTCCCCTATTAAGCAAATCTCGTACAAAGGATAACTATAGATAATACCTTAAATGTAACCATATGTTTTGTTTTAAATTACCTGCTTTGTGTTCCCTTGCAAGGTGTTAAAGTTTTATTCAGAAGCTTTCAATGCAGTTAAGAAGCCATTTCCTTACCTTTAGGTACTGACGTAAGATTAGTATCAGCAGCCGATTAGATTTAGTCATCTCCGTGTATTTGTCTGTTCTACAGTTATTCTTCTTTCTATTCTTTTTACTTTAAAAGATAGGAAAACTATAACAAAAATATGGTATTGAAACGATCGAGACATAAAAATTTCTGAATTATTTCTGATCTTTGGTTTTATGGTAACAGAAAAGGGTAAAATGTGCAGATAAATATAAATTCTTTTACATATTTGCACAAGCTTAGAGATTAACGATATTTATACTATTTGAAATCGTATTCTTTTTATTATTATGTCATAGGAATGATGTCGCAAATCATATACGAGACTTGGAATTTGTTTCTTTTTTTTTTTTATTCTTAATGATTCTTAAAGGGTATAAAAATGTTGTCGTTGCAAAGTTAGTTTTTCTTCTTATTTTTCATGTTATGTGTTTGTTTTCATAAAGGTGAAAATTTTCTACAAGCCTAAAAATATACACAGAACTAATTCTC